ACTGACCTCGTCTGTTCTCCGGCGTGATGCTGTTCACACTTCCGTCCTCAGCCAAGCCCTGCTCCAGATTTGTCAGGATCTACGGCAATTCCAAACGAGAACAACAGAATCGTGAAAAACGAATTTGCTTCCAGACTTTGTCGTAACAGATTCTAGGAGACGCAGACTTCTCTGTATGAAAACCAATTTGTCAAGGAATGTCCCACACAGACACCTTTTACACGTCAGCACTCAGGACACGGAGGGGATGCGGAGAGGGGGCCGCTCTCCAGCCGGTGGTGGCGTCTGGGTCTAGGATGCTCGGAAGGCACTCGAGAGACCTCAGACACAGAGGAGACGTCCTCTCTTTTCAAGAAAGGCGGCCAGTGTGTTACACACGAGGATGATTGTTAACTTCAGAAACGCCAGTCTTGCCCCTCCGCTTGCCCCTCCTCAGCCGTGGGCTGTGTGGCCTTTTGAAATGTATCAAATATATTCTGAGCACCTGTCCCCTTACATCGTTTGTATTGTTTGGTTAATGACTTCGGGTTGCTTTGCGTGCTTTGGCTTTTCCTGAAAAGAAAACACGACGGCTATCACTGTAATGTGAGGAGGGGACGTGAGCGGCAGGAGAGAAAGGCGTGGAGAGGAAAGGCTGTGTGTCGGGAGACCCAGCGTTAACCAACGAAGCTGTGTCCCAGTTGCATCATCACTGATCTCAGGGGCAGGTGGTCTGGGGAAAAAAAACCTTCTGTTTACGGGTCACCTTGCCAGTTAACATGTCCCCAAATGACCCACCCCAAGAGGGGACGCTTGCCACCCGATGAAGAACCTGCTTTGGGCTTTCGTGTGTGGGGTCCCCGGGGGCAGAGCAGAGGGCGAGTGGGGCCTCTGCGCACCTGCGAGGGTCCCTGCCTAACGCCAGCTGGAGCACAGCCTCTGTGAACAGCCCGTGCCGCCTCGCTGGGTCCAGACACTGGGTTCGGAACCGGAGCCGCGAAGGTTCTCGACTGGGTCCAAACCAGGTCACATGACATTTTTGGCTAATCTGTCTCCTGATGAAGAATCATAAGAACAGAAACAGACTAGGAAAGGAAGTCTTGAGGGCGTTTAACCTCTGGCGAGAATAGAAGGCGGACAGGAAGGGAGAAGGGGCAAGAATTACTGAAGGGGAAAAGGTGGCCCAGCACCCTCCTGGTCCCCAGGGCCATCCCCAGGGCCACTGGATGGGACACAGGGGAAGGGGCGGGTGTCCACGCACAAAACCAACCATGACAACCGAGCCGGAGAGAAGGAGCCTCATGGAGGGGGACCGCACACCTCGTGAGGGCAAAGTCACCGACTGGTCGCGTGCCTCACCGCGCGTCATCTGTGCCGAGGACCCACCTCTGGGGCCACCTTATCTGTGGCCTGGACTGAACCACGAGGACGGTGCCAGGAGTCCAGAGGCCGGAGCCGTGACTGCGGGGGCAGGTGGGAGGGGGGTGGGCTACTCTGGGCACCAACAGGAGAGGACACGTGTCCCGGAGAGAAAAGCAGGAGTCCCCGCCCCTCTGGCGCCAATACGACTTTATACGGTCCAAGCGCACTCACCTCCAAAAGCTTAGTTCTGTGAAGGAAAGCGACAGAAACACCGCCACCCAAAGCCCAAAGTGTTTAGTCCGCAACCGTGGTGAGGTGTCCCTTCCCTCCCCCATCCCTCTGTCCCTGACAGAATGACCGAGGCCCAAGTCCAGGTAAGACACTGTCAAGCATCCTGGTCTGCTCCCCAGAATGAGCAAGGGGGACTGCACAGCCTGGCCCACAGGAACACCACATTTACACTGCCCGCAGGTTTGGGCACAGTGGTCACACGCATGACCCTGGAATCTGGTACCGTAAACCTCAGGTTCTGGTTTGTATGCCTGTGGTGTGGCACCAGACCCTGCACTTCTGATGGGCTTTGGGTGATGCTCTGGGGACGACGGTCTGGGGACCACACTTTGTAGGAAAGCTCCGGGGAAGGAGTCTCGCAGCTCTTGCTTTGCTAGGCTGCTGCGGGCTATGGGTGGGGTAGTCTTGGGGAATGGGTTTTGTACATGGAGCACCCAGGGTACAGACCACTGGGGGCGGGCCCTAACCCAAGGGCCTGAGTTCTCACTAGTAACCTACTGGAGACCAGACTCAAGGGAGAGCAGGTCTGCCCTAGCGGGGCTCAGATTTCTCTAGAAAGTCCTGTGACCTATCTGTCCCACCACAGTCTCCTAGGGGAACTTGTGGGAAAGAGGCTTTGCAAAGCAAAAAGAGGCTTCTTGGAGCTGTTTCAAGCCACTCAAGGGGGACTAAACACTCCCACGGACCAGGCTCTGTGCTCAGTCGCTTGTCTGCATCCCGATCTAACCCGCACGCAGCCCCGAGGCAGCGGGTGACACCCCTCATCTACGGCTGAGGGCCTCGAGGCTCACGTGGGCCAGTCACTCTGCTGGGAAGAGACAGGTGCACCTGGAAAGCTTCCCCATCTGCCTGACTCCAGAGCCCTCCCAAACCCTGCCTGTGGACACAGTGTCCCTTCAGGGCTTCACACTTTGAAACAATGCTCTCTTCTCTCCATGCGGATCACAGAAGGACAGAACACACGACGTCAAGATATACAAGTGAGGAATACAGAACTCCAGACCTCCTCATTCCGCTGATGCCCACTCTTTGCTGGGCTCTCGTGCACGAGTCAGGACTAGATTGTTTGATAACTTCTGTGGCCTTGTGCTTCACTTTTGGTGCATCAGATTTTATTTTTAACGTTTATTTATTTTTGAGAGAAAGAGAGCATGAGCAGAAGAGGGGCAGAGAGAGAGGGAGACACAGAATCCGAAGCAGGCTCCAGGCTCCGAGCTGTCAGCACAGAGCCCGATGCGGGGCTCGAACCCACGAACCCTGAGATCATGACCTGACACTTAACCGACTGAGCCGCCCAGGCGCCCAGGGGCATCGGATTTTATACTAGGTTGCTGAGGGGTACAGTTCACGTTCCCAAGTCGACATCCTGAGATTTGCAACGCTGCAACCTGGAGTCTCTAAAGGTGTGAACTGCCACCCTGAGAAGAGTCAAGACACTAACCTTGTAAAACCCCAATGACAGGGACGCTCTTGAGCTCCTCTGAGGGCCAGGAGGGTGAGCGTCTCCCACCCTGATCCCCAGTAACGGGGACCCTGCTGTCACCTCCTGCTTGTGCACTCTGACACACAAGGCCAGGAGCGTGAGTCTCTCCCAGCTGATCCCCGGCGACGGGGACGCTCCTGTCACCTGCTTGTGTACTCTGTGCACGCACGGGCCCAGGAGCATGAGCATCAGTGGCAAAGGGCGGAGAGGCCGCCTCCAGCCTTTCAGCGATCTCTCTCTACTTGCCAATCACCCGCATCTTATCTGATGAAGCCACAATCAATTTGTTCTCTGCTGCAGCAGCAGGAAAGTGGCAACGGCACCATCCGGGTCAGGTGAGGCCTGGCAGGGCAGACGCTGTCAGCATGCCGATGGCCAGCCTCCTGGAGCGTTTCCCCGAGGAGCTGGCGAGCGAGGGCCAGCTGAAAGACATCAAGACTTCCTAGAGACAAACCTGTCACCTCTGCCTTATTAGCAGTCAGCAGCAGAGAACCATTCCTATCAACACTCTGGAGTATGTCTCGTTTGCACAAAAACATACCTGACCCTCCGGCTTCTTCAGCTAAAGTAGCACTTCTTTTACGAGGTTCCTTCCGCCAGGCTAACCTGGGATGGGTGGAGGCTGCTGGGTTGTGGGAGGGATGGAGCTGAGCTCAAGACCACGCGGGGCACGTCCGTATCGGCAACGACCCACAGCCCAATTTACTTTGGCATCGTTCCTTATGGACCGTGTCTACTTCTGCAAGTGGTGTTAGAACTCTGTTCCCTTGGCTCTCTCCCAACTGGTCTGTAAAGGTCTCTCAGGACTAGCAGCAGAGATGGGCTGCAGAGAAGCCAGAGAAGGAGGGACCGCGGGACAGAGGCACCTGCTGTCCTGATGCGATGGTCTCTAGCTTGCTCGAGGCCCGGGAGCACAGCAAATTTGTTTGAGATCAAGGAGCATTTCACCTTCACAGATACAATTACACCATCCAAACATCTACTAGTCTAGCACATTCTTCTGCATCAAAGACAGCAGGGCAAACGGGTGCCCTGGGCCACCTGGTAAAGGTCACAAGTGACGTCCTGCTCAAACTGGGCCCCCTGTTACAATTCGGGACCACGGTCTAATCTCAGGCTCCCTGGCTGACTACAGAGAGTCTGTAACCACAGTCTAGGGAAGCTTCCACATTAGGGAAAGCCTGGCCTCTTCTGAGCAAACGACTGCTTTCTAGACGCCAAGAACTGTGTCCTGATGCCATTTCCCTCGTGGCTCTGGTGACCAGGAGTCAGACCTGCTTTTTGGCTCCTTTCCTGTTACCGCTGTCTCAACTTCACCTTCTGTCCTGCGGTCTCGTTTAACTTTTTTTCAACAGAAAAATGCCTGATTGTAAAGTTAAAGTACGCTGACATAACTACGGCTGAGAAAATAAAAAAGAATAGAATGGCCTCTGTTCCTGTTACCCACGTAGCTAACACAATGCTGTTCTTCCTTCAGCGGATGTTGTTTACAGGAGACCGTACTGCAATAATAAATCTGTGGGCTGGCTTTGCAAATGAGCATCGTGTGTGAACATGTCCCACGTCAGGGCTGCAGAGTTAGATGACTGTTTGGGAACTACATCATGCCTTGACACCCCAGGTCCGGGCCTGCTCCGGGGCCCTTGTGTGCGGCTGCCATCTAAGGCTGTTTCTTCTCACTTGGGGAATCCATGCTGGGATCAAAACTGTGAAGAGCTAGCTGACTGTTGCTGGAGAGACAGCTGTCAGACGGCAAAGCTCACAGTGTATTATCTGCACACACAGTCACAGCATATGGTCACAGTGTGTTATCCGCGCACACACGGTCACAGTGTATTATCCGCGCACGGTCACAGTGTATTGTCCACACACACGGTCACAGCGTATTATCTACACACACAGTCACAGTATATTATCTGTGCACACAGTGTATTATCTACACACA